CAGCTCCCTCGCCCTGCGGGTACCCCCCTACCCCTCACCACCCCTCGTTGCCCCTGGGTTAGAACCGGCCTATATAACCTACTAGCGTGGAGCTCTTGTAAGAACTCCCCCCTCCTCGTCTTCGTTATTATTTCCATCACGGAAATCCTCAATCCCTAATTTCCCTTTTCTCTCGATTTCAAATATCCACCGAACCCCTTCCCCCGAATACTTTCACCATCGATTTCGTAAACGCAGGTCTGGGTACCATTAGAAATGCCATAAATGGCTACCCTAGCGAAGCCCTTACACCAGTGTACCTTCCTCACTCCCCCCATCCTTTCCTAGTCATCGTAGCCTTTTTTCTAAATTTCCATCCCTCTTCCTCAATCATAATCAACGAAATTAACTAATAACATAACATGTATTGCCTCTCCGCCATCGCACACACATATGCACTTAGATTCACGAATTAATTCAATAGCGGCACAAATGTTTTTATATTAATTATAATTAACCACTAATCGTAGCGCTCTACAGTTAATCATGTCTAATTGTCGAGCTTTTTAACATATATGTAAACTTAATATTCATGTGCCTTATTGCTCATATTTTAGCATTATATTCTTATTCAAAAATTGTAATTTTTGTTAGTAATAAAATAGAACTTTATTAAGATGATAAATATCCATTCATTCTAAAAATCAAAAAACCTCGTACTCTCGCCATTTCCCAAAGATCGCACCTGGTCGACTCCCGTTATAGGGATTCCCGAGTTATAAGGATTCATTTCCTTGACTCGAAATTGGACCGACGTACACACTGCTCAAGGAAACAGATGTTATAGCGTCCCTTCAGGACCCTGACCCATATTCCGGAGCGATAGGAAGTGCTTTCGACTCTCAGGTATTCGCCGCTGCGCGTATACCTGTTAAATAAAGTCTAAGCGTCTTTTCCTCTCCAACTCCATCCTTGTCTCTCCCGTTTAAACTTATTTCCAAGGGCTTGGACGTAACACAATATAGGTATGGAATTATCTATGACCAAAACTGAGCACATTATTTTCTCTGACAAAAGATTGCAGTTCTCTGATGTTCTGTCGGTTCATAATGCAAGGCAGAGAGTTGAAACAGTGAGTTCTGTGAAATTTTTGGGAATCACTTTAGACATGAAGCTGGGAGGCAAGGAACATTTGGCACAATCATACAAAGGGGCAAAGTCATAGCCGGCGTTGTCGTTTCAATCGTTTCACGCGAATCAAGCACCCCGAACGTGAGAGGCAAGGGGACTAACGCGAATCAAACACCCTGAACGTGAGAAGCAAGGGAACTTACCCCATCTGGCAATTAAGCACCCCAATGGGATGAAATTATCGTCACATCCATGTCGTTCATCCTAATTAATGCTAAGCACGGGAAAATGCATGCAGTTTATCTGGACCTGATTGAGCATCAAACATAATCAGTTCAGTTAACAAATAGAAATAATAACATTGTATATGTAATTCCGACTTCCTTTCTCCATTCCCATGTACGCCCGTACGCAAGTATGCACTCACGTATACACGAGATTAAATCCGATTAAGTAACCTCTACACCCTGCACTTCTTGGGAAATGCTAATGCCGGCAATACTGTAACTTTCAAGCCTTATAACTCGAAAAGTACTTTATGAAAAAACATTTCATTATAGTGTTTTGGAAAGCTCTCGAGGTGTGCTACAAGAATATGCGATGAAAAATATTTAAATTCCATTTAAAAAATTCAAAGTGACATTGCTCTGACCTTGGTGAAGCCACCCAAGGTCATACTGATCTGATCACTGAATATATCATTTAGAACCCCACAACTTTTGTCTGAAACGTTTCTTTCTAAAATGCTCTGCTTCTGAGATAAAAGGGGTGGACGGGTGGTCTGGGACACCCGGTATAATTCCACTGCAATCGACTCGCCACTCACCTCTCTTTCTTCTCAATCTAAATGACTCGCCAAGTAAAATGACCAAGAAACAAACCACTATTTATTGCAGATAAATAGATATCTGCAATAAATCAGCCTAATTTAAAAAATTTTAAAAAGGGAACAGAAAACTGCTATGTCCACGTCGTTGTTCCTGGGTTACGCTAAAAGTAGTTTCTTGAGAAGTAATTAATGAGTAATTAAAAATGAGAAGTTTTAAGACTAATTTCGAGTATTAACAATGAAAACGTGGTATTTTTATTGTTAATGTATTGCAGAATCGTAAGCATGTGTTCTCAGTAAGAGAAATCGAAGAAATTGAATTTCGTCGATTACAGCGCCATCTATTATGAATCGAGAAAAATGTTTCAGATAAATCGTATGTGCTTTTAGCCAAAGATTCCGAATATGCAATAAAAAGTAGGGATTCCCATTTAAGATTTCAAACTTGCCCCCCTCACCGCCCAGGGGGCGGGATGGGGGGCTGATTTTAACGTCAGTGTATGTCACCCTCGGAATGATGAAATATTGATTCTTAACATTTTTTCTTAGTGTGCTTATTTTTCGAGATATTTGAAAGTTTCTGATTTAAAAAATCACCCTGTATATATATGGGGCGTTCTCTGTTAAATTGATTCAATTCACACACATCACACTTAGTAGTTAGTAAGGAAATACAACACACATCACACTTAGTAGTTAATAAGGAAATATGGAACCATTATAATATTGCAACTTTGGGTTCAGTTATACAAATTTAACCTTAATTCGACTCTCTTTATTTACGAATACCACCTCCTCGTATTTATATTGCCGACTAAGATTGCACTTGCTCTTGTCCCCGACTATTTGGATTAGTTTCCAAGGCCGAAAAGAAAGGGCATCGAACGCACTGGCCCATATGAGATAGAAGAGTGCCCCTACGGCGCACTGAACCATTTCCCGGCCTTTAGCGTGTGCGTTCGCCTCGAGGTCCGCTCAGCGGAGCATCGACCTCGAGAGAGGCTTTCGTTTCGTCCTGCCTGAGACCCCAGCTCTACCAAGTGGCCAAGGGACGAAGTGAAGTACCTACCGTTGAGTCGGTCCATCTCCTAGCTCCCCTGCGGTCCGGAGCTTGGACCGACGATACGGTGGTTCGGTTCGCGTTACGTTCACCCCCTCAGTTCCATGCGTGCGGAACTTGGACGTAACAGGTCCAAGAATAGATCCTTGAGGTACCCCTGAAGGAACTGAGAGAGATGAGGAAAATGAAGAATATGGATTATATATAAAAACACGCTGGGATCGACCTGCAAGGAACAATTGAAGCAACAACAGAGTTTCCTGAGATAACCCATACATGCAAAGTTTGGCAAGGAGGAGACCGTGACTAACTGTCTCAAAGGCTTTCGTGAAATCGAGAGCAACGATAGTCTTAAGATATTCAGAATCAAAGTTCCTCAGTACGAGAACTGAGACAAAGAGTAGCTCAGTTGTGGTACTATGTGACCTACGGAAGCCCGATTGGCACGAAGGGATGATCTCAGCATTGTTAACAAACGCATATAACTGCTGAAAGCAGATATATTCTATTAACTTCGACAGGAAAGGGGGAAGAGAAATAGGACGGAAAGATGAGGGAGAATAGAAATCACGATTTTTGGTAATTGGAATAACAATCGATCGCTTCCAGGAAGAGGGAAAGATATTATTAGATAGAGAGAAATTTAAAATGTGAAGCAGAGGATCAAAACAATGAGGAAGACAAAGTAAGACTACACGACCGGAGAGGTTGTATGGTCCAGCAGAAGTAAGTCGAATGTATTAAAAAATGTTGTATAATTGACTGGAATTGATTGAGGTGAAATTGAACCTCTCAGGAACATCACAAGAGGAGGAAAGAAGGTGACCAATGATATCGTTAGAACAAGAGTAGATGAGGGAGTCGACAAAGTGATTATTTAAGAGAGAAGGATCTTGGAAATGGACAGGTATCGTTCTGGAGGCAGATCTGTTTCCTCCAAGCGTTGATAAGTTACGCCACAATTGACGAGAGGAGTTGGAGGAGAGGGAGGAGGATAGGAACGGCTTCTTTTCACGACGGATGGCACAGGTCACATCGTTGCGCAGAGCCTTGTAGCGTTGCCAATCCTCGGCTGACTTTGTGCGTCTAAATTTAATAAGAGCGCGGCGTTTCAACGTAATAAGTCTCTTGACAGTTGAGCTCAGCCAAGGAGCGGACGAACGGGCGACACATTTGAAGCGTAGAGGAGCAAGACAGTCAAATATAGATATGAGAGTGGAGGAAAAGTAAGAGACCATTTCGTCCACATCCGAGGCAGCATATAAAGGAGACCAATCTATACAATCAAGTTCCGAGGCAATAGCATTAAGCTGAATCGCACGAATATCCCGCGACAGTAATGTACGGCCACGACGCAAATACCCCCTCACACTCAGCGCGGCGTATACCGCGAAATGACCGCTGATACTCACAGCATCGCTCACAACACACTCAACGACGTCAACGCTATACGAAATCATAATAAGATCAAGAATCGTTGCCGATTCTCCAGTCACTCGCGTTGGCTCATCGATAAGCTGTCTGAGATAGAGCTTAGACGCAACATCGCACAGGTGCCGAGCGTGACAATTCTGATGGGTCAAGCATATTGACATTAAAAAATCTCCGAAGCATATAATTGAATCGGCGCTACAGGCAATATTATACGGACAGGATTCGATAAAACGCAGATCAACAATCGGAGCCCGAGGGAGGCGATAAGCGCACACAATTGCTACCCTCTGATGATTCAGGTGAAGGGAAGCAGCAATGATGTTAGTGAGTACGCCATCCGGAGGGACGTCAAGGTCGATCGGGGAAAAAGAGATAGAGCTGTCGATATACATCGCAACACCCCCGCCGCGAGAGCCGGAGGATCTGTCGGAACGAATGCAAGCGTAGTTTTCTATGGATATCAGACCAGAGTCATCCGTATCGCGAAGCCACGTCTTCCCGATCGCCAATACGTCCAACCGTAAATACGCAATAACATCCTTCACGGAAACGAAATGTGGTAAGAGTGAACGAACATTCGAATACGCAACCCGAAGGGTGCGGTCGCAAGAGTCATGAGAAGAAAACATATTCAGGCGAGATGAGTCAGCAGGGCGTCAGTGAGATCCAGCGCTCGGATCCACTCGATGAGGTGGCGAAGTCGAGCGTAGGAGCCCAGTGACAGTCCCGCCCGCACTAACACACGAGAGTATTGATTCGTGAGAGGTAAAACGACATGACGGCGCGCCGTCGACAACCCTGAAATATGTGACCCTCCTCCGCATCCACACATACTTGACATTGCTACTCTCAGCAAGTTGACGAGCCTCAGAAAATGCACGCCGCTCCGATCTAGTAGAGCGCTCAAGTAGGGAGACCCTGTCGGCAGGCCATGCACCGCGGACATCAGAGGCAGCAAAACCAGACCGACGATGAGCCCTCGCGATCAGTTCATTCCTCTTAGCTATCGTGGTGAATTTAACGATAAGCGGGTCGGAGGATGAAGACCGACATGGGATTCTAAAGACCTTCACCACCTCCGAGGGCGCCAGCGACGCATCAAGCGATCGAGCAACCAGCAATACAGCCTCCATCCGCTCTTCAGATGCCATCTTCGGAAGGCCAAATATAATGAGCTCGTGATCCCTCTGCTCATTCATCAAGTGTTCAAATCGTGCAGTTAAGACATTAGGAGGAGCAGCACCAGCAGCAGCAACGAAACGCCCGGCACTCATGGCCTCCTCCAAACGGGCACAGCGCTATTCAAGGGCAGTTTGCCTCTCCGAGAGAGAAGCAAGTCCTGCAGCCAAGCCTTCCGCCACCGTAGAAAACTGTCCGACAACCTCCTCAACATCACGCAGCCGACTTAGAGCATCCCCGAATCCATCGATCCTAGCACTCAAAGCGTCCAGTTTTAGTTCCAGGCGATCTACAAAGCCAAGATCAGATTCGAGACTCGCAAGTCTGTTATTCAATGCAGTTAGTGATGACTTAACTTCTGCAAGATAGACTTCGGACGTCCCCGACGGACCCGGCGAGTCGTCACGACATAGATGTGCAGGCGGGGATGAAAAAAGCGGAGCAGCAGAGCCTATTCAGACGCAGCCATCTCAACCACGGATAAAGATGAACCCTCCTCAGAAGCAGAGCCTGTGGCACCTGAGCCATCAGGGGGCAAGCCGTTGTCAATCCCACAGAATGTGCATCTACGCGAACGCGGTATGAAACGCTTGCACCTGCAGCAGGTCGGCTGACTCATGACGATCAAATATAAAATCGTTTAACGGTATTCTAAATGTTCAAAAATATATACAGGGTTGACCGAATAACGACTTACAATAACAAAACAGTACAACGATACGGGCATACACAGAACAGACAAAAAGTAGTACAGAGATAATTATAAAAAGAACATGTATAAAATTCATTCGATCATATGATAAATCAGACACGAAAAAATTGATGAAAGCAAAAAGAATAATGATAGCGCAAGCTCCGAATATAATCGAAATAGACAATATAATCGCAGAGACACTTATCGATATTAATGCACAACAATGTGACGTTATTTAATACGACGCAACATTTTTACAAAGAAAAGAATCACATTACTCACTAAGAACATCCAGCATGCCGACCGCACCGGCGATGCACTTGAATGCACGGAATCGAAGACTTACTTGCAATCGACTGCGAGAATATATCAAAAACAATAGGAAGCTACTGCGAATCCGGAAAAGATAGCCGGAGCGGGAGCGACAGGCCGAGGTGTTGACAGGTCGAGCGTACAAACAAGAATCCAATAATGTACATATATACAATAACCTAGTAAATACAATGTTACATGTAACGTACATGTAACATGCAATGCAATTATAATTATATATTATTCACTAATAATGTTTTTTTATATGTTACAACATTGTTAGAATTATAAATGTATGTTTGTGCGATGTGAATACACGCACAATATAATATACAATAATATCAAGAATATAGAAGGACAAATTAGAGTCAAGTTCAAATATAATATATGTGTAACACGTTAAAAATTTTTACATTCCAATAAATTGATATAAAAATATAAATATAATTTAAAAAATATGAATATAATTTAAAAACCTTAATATTATATACATTGTGTTACATTACATGTTTCGGCATCATAATTGTGCCATCATCAGATGCTTCGGATTCGCAGAATAGAAACGCATTAAAGAAGTCAATATTAAACGTTACAAAGGATGTATTGAACTAATGTAACTATATGTGATCCGCCTCTTATGTAAATCAGATGCAACACCATAAACGGAGATAATATACAATGTATGTATTATGTATGCGAGTTACCATCAGCGGTCATTAGCTATTACCGACGCGAACCTTAGCGTTATCATCGAGGCGCTATCCGTCTCGGGTGTTAGTTCCTCTCTCTTCTTTATCTTTTGATCGGATAAATAAATGAAACTATCTAAGTACACCGGACTATTCTTTAAATCAATACATTCCTTAAAATATAATAAGTGAATACATAAAAGTATGTATACATAAAATTCTAATATTGCGTATGAATAGATAATATCTGCATGATTATATCAACATGAGTAACTTTTATCTGTTTATATAATGCGTGCGTGTGTGTGTGTGTTCACATAGTATAATTACATTCAATTTTCTATATTGGATATATAAGTTGACATGTCAGTAATGTAAGTACTATAAGTATCTATCTTTTTTTATTAAGAGCAAAAAGAGATACATCATGTACGTGCATTGTCGTATTTATTTATTGATAATATATTATCCTAACCTAAAATGGCATGCATAGCCGACGAAACAGCAGTTCAAGATTACTTTCGACGATTCGATTGGGCATTACAGCTAAGTAAAATTCCGGAAGAATTGCATGCCAACTATGCTCGCGTTCATATGGGTACTGAATTAAATAACGCACTTAAATTTCTAGTTTCTCCGCGTCAGCCAGAAGAACTATTATATAATGAATTGCGTTCGGTACTTATTAACCATTTCGACCGTACTCGAAACAAGTATGCCGAAAGTATTAAATTTCGTCTGATTGTCCAACAAAAAAAGGAAAGCGTCGCTAATTTCGTCTTACGCCTCAAACAAGGCGCTGCTCATTGTGAATACGGCGAATTCTTAGACAGAATGTTGATAGAGCAATTACTACATGGACTCGAGTCGCGCGAAATGTGCGACGAAATCATTGCAAAAAAGCCAGCAACCTTCGCGGAAGCATACGAAATCGCAAATACACTCGAAGCAACGCGTTACACGATAAACGTAGTCAAGACGGCCGAAGCAGCTGAACTAACGGAAAAAACGCATAAAGTTAAGCATACTTCATTAAAAACAAAGCATAATAAACGATCCACGCATTACAGATCACTATCACGTAACAGAAGTCAGCAACGGAATCAGTCTAGTAATACGCAAGGAAACAAATCCAATGGTGCCAACCTCCATCCATGCCAAGGATGTGGAGAATTACACAGGCGTGACAAATGCCCATTTCGGAAAGCTCTTTGCCATAAATGCAGCAAACATGGCCACATTGCCAAGGTATGCAGAGCAGGGAAAGCAGTTCAAGCTCTTCAAAATACAGATCAAGTGGTCCTCCCGGCAGAACACGTCGATACTTTACAAACATTCAGCAAAATCGAAGAAATTCAAGTAACAAAATCCATAAGTAAGCAAATGATTACAGTTAAGATCGACGCAAATTGTCTATGGAACTTGATACAGGAGCACCATGTAGTATAGTCAACGAGAAAACATTACGTTGTATTAAACCCGAATGCACGTTACTCAATTCGGATAGGAAATTTGCTAGCTATACGGGTCATCACATTGATTGTATCGGTTATTTACCAGTGAATGTTACATTGGGTACAACAACGTGCAAGTTCAATTTATACGTTGTTAAAGAGCCTTTTGACACTCTCTTGGGAAGAGAATGGATAGGAGAACTTGCTAAAGAAATTAATTTCACTGAATTATTCTCCGCTTCAAATAAAATTCATTCGTTAACCGCTGCACCATCTCAATTGTCTGCAAAACAAAAAAAAACAACTGGATCAACTATTGACCCGTTACGAGGATATTTTCAGCGACAAACCAGGTAAATTAATAGGACCTCCAATTACCGTTCACTTTAAACCTGGGGCTACGCCAGTTTATTCCCGTGCACGTGAAGTACCTTTAGCCTTTCATGATAAATATGCCGAGGAGATTGAAACCAAACTCGTATCCGGATATTACGAGAAAGTCGAATTTTCAGAATGGGCTTCTTCAACGCACATTGTGGTCAAGAAGAACGGAAAAATCCGTGTCACAGGCAACTACAAACCAACCCTTAACCAACACATCATTATAGACGAACATCCTATTCCGAAACCTGAGCACCTATTCAATAGAATGAAGAACGCTAATATTTCATCTCCACATTACAGATGCCTATACGCACTTACCGGTGGATGAGAAGTTCGCTCACGCGTTGACATTAAATACACCGACACATGGGTAATTCGTCCCAAACGCTCGGTTTACGGCGCGGCTAATATACCAGCGATTTGGCAGCGTCGTATTGAAAAAGTCCTACAGGACTACTTCCTAATGTGCTTAATTTCTACGATGATATATTATTGTTCGCTGAAGGATTTGATAACTTGATGTTAATTCTAGATAGAACACTGGAACGACTACAATCACATGGCCTTCGCCTTAATCGTAATAAATGCAATTTTGCTTCTCCGGTAGTTGAATTTCTGGGTCATAAGATTGACTCCCGCGGAATACATAAATCAGATAAACACATCGAAGCAATTCGAGACGCACCAAAACCAGCTACCAAAGAAGAACTCCAATTATTCTTAGGAAAGGCAACTTACTACAATTCTTTTATTCCAGATTTAGCGACGAGAAGCCGACCACTGAGGAACATGCTTATTACTGAATCTTTTAAATGGTCAGCAGATGCTGAGGAAGCTTATGATGACATCAAGAATACACTAATCTCTCCTCAAATTTTGATGCCATACGATCCAGCCCTTCCATTGGTATTAGCGACAGACGCAAGCAAGATAGGATTAGGTGCTGTCCTATCGCATCGACTTAAAAACGGGCCAGAACGCCCAATAGCTTTTGCCAGTCGCACATTAACTCTTACGGAACAACGGTATCCTCAAATTGATAAAGAGGCACTAGCAGTAGTATGGGCAGTACAAAAATTTTTCTATTACCTATATGCACGGCAATTCATATTAATCGTTGATAATAAGCCTCTCACGCAAATTTTGCATCCAACGAAATCATTACCAGCATTATGCATTAGCCGCATGGCGAATTACGCTGAGTATCTTTCGCATTTTTTAACGTAGAATTTAAGCCAACGAAGGCTAACGCAAATGCCGACTACTGCTCCCGTATGCCATTACCAACTACAACAGAGACCGTTCATGAAATAACAACTAAACATGACGTAACAATCCAGGATGAATTTAATGAATTCGCGTTGTGCCAGATTAAACAATTACCAGTCCGCGCAGAGCATATTGGACGAGAGACACGAAAAGACCCAGAGCTAGGCAAAATCGTCCAACTGTTTGAGTCAGACAAGGACTTGGCTCGCGCTGGCTACAAAGCTCCAGAGAACAAATATACTCTAGTAGCCAACTGCTTATTATTTGAACACCGAGTTGTCATTCCAATTTCTCTACGAGATACGATCTTAAGTGACCTGCATGCATCTCATATAGGCATAGTTAAAATGAAAGGTATCGCTCGCTCTTTCGTTTACTGGCATCGACGCAGCTATTGAACAAGTCGCCAAATCGTGCGCTAAATGCGCCAGACATGCACATTTACCGCCCAAAGGTAAAGGTCATCACTGGGAATATCCAAAAGGACCATGGGAGCGAATACATGTGGACTATGCAGGACCAGTCGCAGGCACCATGCTGCTTATTGTCGTGGACGCTTACAGCAAATGGCTGGAAGTGAGAGCGACCCATTTGACCACAGCAACGGCAACGATTGCGATTTTAGATAATATTTTTGCATCATATGGAGTTCCCATAACAATCGTCTCAGATAACGGAACCCAGTTTAAGTCTGTGGAATTCGAGTCGTTTCTACAATCAAGTGGAGTCAAATATCACAAATGCACAGCGCCGTATCATCCCGCAACGAATGGCCAAGCCGAGCGTTATGTACAAACGGTAAAGGATACGCTTCGCGCAATGTCCACTACACCAGGATCGTTGCAATCCAACCTTAACCAATTTCTCCGGCAATACAGGAAGGCTCCGCATTCAACAACGGGTCAGTCACCTGCGCAGTTATTCCTTGGTCGTAACATACGTACCAGAATTGATTTAGTGCGACCAGACGATATACATACGAAAATCTCGGAAAAACAACAAGTCATATTAAATTCCTCATTTCGAGAATTTCAACCTAAACAAACAGTAATGTTCTTATCAAGTAACCCGCATATGGACAAATGGGTTAAAGGCAAAATCATCGCACGTCTAGGTGATTTGCATTACGAGATAGACTATAAAGGCAACCACTATAGGAAACACGTAGATCACATCCGAGCTTATACTGAAGAAGAGGTTAAGGATCAGTCCGACAACGTTAAACCACTGAGGCAGGATGAGCCCCGTCGAGTTCACTTTTATGATAAACAAGTTTCTATTATTCCACAGGCTAAGTTGCAGGGACCATCAATATCGCCAAGGCCGCCTACGCCACAGAGACCATCTACTCCAATGGAGCAATGTTGGACTCCACCGATGACACCGTCTCCGCCCAGGTCTCCACCAAGGTCGCCGCCACGCCAAATGCGATCACCTCTAATTCCACGACGATCTACAAGGCCCCATCGTCCTCCTCAACGCTATGCACCAAGCTAACAATATTTTGAAGGTTGTAAACCATTTCTATATTATTGTATTTCTCAATCACGGAGAGGGGAAGAGTATTATGTATGCGAATTACCATCAGCGGTCATTAGCTATTACCGACGCGAACCTTAGCGTTATCATCGAGGCGCTATCCGTCTCGGGTGTTAGTTCCTCTCTCTTCTTTATCTTTTGATCGGATAAATAAATGAAACTATCTAAGTACACCGGACTATTCTTTAAATCAATACATTCCTTAAAATATAATAAGTGAATACATAAAAGTATGTATACATAAAATTCTAATATTGCGTATGAATAGATAATATCTGCATGATTATATCAACATGAGTAACTTTTATCTGTTTATATAATGCGTGCGTGTGTGTGTGTGTTCACATAGTATAATTACATTCAATTTTCTATATTGGATATATAAGTTGACATGTCAGTAATGTAAGTACTATAAGTATCTATCTTTTTTTATTAAGAGCAAAAAGAGATACATCATGTACGTGCATTGTCGTATTTATTTATTGATAATATATTATCCTAACCTAAAATGGCATTGGACGTAAGAAAAAAGTGCTACTACGACTTCGTATCGATATAACTATTAGTAAAAAATCTGTACTTTATGTATATTACAGATTTTTAGTACTGGTTTTATATATATTGGAACGCGACCTACATTGCATGTGTATAATACCACTGTATTTCTAAGGCACGATTCCACAAATATAAGATTAACTTCAATCCCGGTTTATTTTTCTCAATTCTAAAATTGGAAAATTTTCCAAAATAAAATAAATCTTACATTTGTGGGATCGAGCCTAATACATGTTTTTGTCCCCGAGCAAGATGGTAATGTAAGAAACGGAATAAAAATATCGATAATTAATCGAATTTCCTGCATGATCATCTTAATTCAGAAGGCGTAAGCATCTTATAACATACATTGGAAATGAAAACTTGTAATATCGACCTTGATTAATTTCGACCGTCGCTCCAGCATCCCCTTAAGGACGTCTGCAGTTAGCCTATAAAACTAATAGTTCCCGGAGTTTACCACGAGGAGGTTGCAGTACGTTTTTAAACTCCATATTTTCGGGGCTTTTTTAACGTGAGTCCCCTCGCCTCTCACGTTATGTATTTATCATCGGGGTGCTTTTTTAACATGAGTCCACTCGCCTTTCACATTAACAAACTTCTCACATTAACAGAAGAGAATTAATTAATTCTTAATCATCGTCATTATCACTTTCAATGACTGGAATGGAATTATCTTTTTAAATATATCACTGAGTATTTCTGCCGGCTTAAAAATTTTTGATAAATATCTTGCATAAGATAAATAATATATTATTGCGGCAATATGGGAGCAACAACCAATTGTCCGTCTGCCATTAGCACACTCACATGCATAATGAATCACACACTGATACTATTTGATTTGAATCTCAGGAAATATCTATATGTTGCACGAGAAATATGTCGGGATGGAACTTTTAGTTTAAGAACATTTTTCTAATCTATGACATATTTTATATTTAATTTACCATTTTTATCTACCATCTCTACCAAATACAACACGGCTTGAGAGTTGATACGAACCGGTAAAGAAAATCTTCATGTCTGTTTCTGTCATTTTCGGAAAATCCAAAAGATTATTACATGTAATATTTTTGAAAAGGAGTTTTCGGCGAAACCACCCTTTTTCTTTGGCCTCAATCAGAAATACTCAGCGACATGTTTAAGAAAGGTAATTCCATTTCAATCATTGAAAGTGATTAGTGACGATGATTAAGAATTAAATAATTCTTTTTGTTGATGTGAGAGGTTTGTTAATGTAAGAGGCGAGGGGATTCACGTTAAAAAAGCATCCCGATGATAAATACATAACGTGAGAGGCGAGGGGACTCACGGTAAAAAAGCACCCCGATGATAAATATATAACGTGAGAGGCGATGGGACTCACGTTAAAAAAGCACCCCGATGGTAAATACATAACGTGAGAAACAAGGGGACTCACGTTAAAAAAACATTCCGAAAATATGGAGTTTAAAAACGTACTGCAATCTCTTCGTGGTAAACTCCGGGAACTATAAGTTTTACAGGCTAACTGCAGACGTCCTTAATGGAAATATGTAATATTATATATTATTATATTATAATGTTCACTGAATAAATGTGTAGGCAACAATAAAATCTTTGTCTCTATCAATTTACTTGGCAATTAAACATTGCAACACTGCAATAAGGTTAGTATATATTATAGTACCATGGCAACAGCCGCCATGCGTCGCAGCGAGCCGGAGCCGCGGTCGCCCAGTCGGCACGGCGTTGCGCGAATAATTGTTTTTTTTAAACATGTTCTATCACTCCGATCAATTTAAAAAAATATATGTTAAAGTAGAGAGTCTACAGATTATTTTTATAAAGTATAAAAGTGGTCACTCAAAAATGTCAACAAAAAAAAAAATTCATGAAAAATTTTTTAATGGTTTGTTTTCAATTAAAAAAAATTTTTTTCTACTTATCTAAATGATGTTTACAACATAAATTTTTTTCATTAAACAATAAAACGGTTGGGCATATGCCACACACTAGATCTTGTTAGTGAAATACCATTAATATATTCGTATATAGAATTAAAAGAATTACAATAATTATATCAGTTACAATAAATCAAAGTATAAACGTTTCGGCCCTGAATGTGGCCATCTTCAGTATAAATAAACATAATATATAAAATTATAAAGATATAAATAATTACGCAATAACAGTTACAATTAGTAGATATAATAAAGTATTTAAGTTGTCAAAGTATAAAAAACTCAATTAATATTGTTGAGTATTTAGTCGTGTGATGAAATTATCGATTGATAAAAAATCTTCCAATGTAAAATATTATTTACAAGGATCGTTAACATTAAGATATAATTGCCAAACTAAAATGTATATGCTTAATTAGATATTGTCATAACGATATAAAAACAAAATTAGAAAGTGTAAAAACTGTAATCTCACCTATATCTTGAAAACTCGTAACGGAAGATTCGATCGTGGAAGATATATCCTTATCTCGTTATTCTTATATAAATTGTCGTAAAATGTTCCCTCAAGTTGAACTCAGAGATATATATATATATATATATACAACTCAGATCAGAAGACATCCAAATTTAAAGAGAAGGGGAAAAAATGTGATGTGAGAAGGAAAAACATTATATTGGGGCAAAAATAGGAAGAGCATTTACATAAATGAATGACAAAAATTTATTATTATACAATTAAAAATATGTAATAAAAAAAGAAAAGAAATAAAGTTAAGAAAAAGATTGAATAATAGGTAGATAGATGTTAGGTAATTTTTCTGTATCGTTCTGATTGTTAATACCATTTCCCTGCTTTTTGATATGAATCATTTCCGAGATAGATCTTTTATAAAATGAACAAAAAATCTAAAATATTAATATTTTCCCAATCTATCTGATGACCATACTGAAGTTGATGCAGAGAAACAACAGAATGATTATTAGATTTTCTAATGTCGGCTTTATGTTCTTTAATTCTAGTTTTTAATTTTCTTTTTGCTTGTCCGACATAAGAGCAATCGCAATTATAACAATTAATTTTATATACAACATTGTTATTATCCATCTTATCCAACTTATCCTTCCCTGTTTTAATAAATTTATTTAAACTATTAATGGGTTTATATGCTATATTCAAATTATAATTTCTGTACACATTTTGAAATTTTTCTGTTAAGTTTTTAACATAAGGTAAAGTGCAATAAATTTTAATATTACTATTAATCAAGTCTTTATGATTCGTTTGCTTCAATTTATTATTATGACTAAGTGACTTAATTCTATTATTAATTGTGTTAAAAAGAAAATCCAAAGGATACCCATTATTTAATAAAGTGTTAATCATATTAGAAATATTTAATGTATGAATTAGGATGTGAAATATTTAATGTATGAAAATTAGGATGTGAGAGATATATAATTCTATCGATTAAGGAAAAAATAACTCCTCTTTTAAGGCATAAAGGATGATTGGAAAGAAAATTTAGAAATCTCCCTGAATGAGTAGGTTTCTTATATAAGT